TTGTCTTAGGTTGCCAGGGTGAGAATGAGCTTTTACCGGAAGGCCAATAATTTTATTGTGGGCTTAGGCTGAGAACATTTGGAAAATCAAAGTAGACAACATACTGCCGGGGGTGGGGAGAGCGGGACTCGTGGACACACTTTCAGCCCAGTTTTCTCCAGGAGATGGGTTTATCGAGCTCCTCCACTGCCAGACCCTTTTCATACGTTTCCTCACTGAATTCACTAACAGCCTTTTAAGGCAGACATTACCCTTGTTTTATTATCATTGAAGAAATAAGGTTACTTGTAATAATTCAGGATTGGAATCCCTTTTTGCTCCCATCTGATCCCCAGCCATCCTAGTCCCTGAGTCTGCTTGTGCTTGAGACTTGAACTGATCATGAAAAATGAAGTTCAAATGCCTGAAATGCCATCCAGGTTAGTGTGTTTAAGGGAAACCTCTGTTAACTTCCTTCCTTCTCACATCCTCCTCACTTCCTGCTCATCCCACACTGTGCGCCTGTGTACTGATGACCGTAGGACAGTGCAGCCAGGGTCCGATAGGGGTGGACCCTGCTCCTCTCTGGGAAGATGCAGGTCCCGTGGCCCTTGGCTTGTTGCAGTACCAGCTGCCAGAACAATGAGAAGGCTTATCGTGACAAGGCTTCTGGACTTGGCGTAGAATACAGGGGATGCTCACTTGAGTGGCCACCTTTTGCTGAAGCCTGGTGAGCCCTGGCCACCACCTAACAGTGCCTTTCTGCTAAGGAGCTGGGCCCAGTCTGGCCTGCTGCAGGGATGCTGGTTTGGGGCCGGCTGTGTCTGGGACCTGCTCTGATGTGGGATCTCCGTTTCTTTGCTCGGGTCAACTTCGGTGACTTTGTAGTGAACACTCACCAAAGTTCTGGATACAGCCCTCTCCAACTGATCGCGGAATGAATAAGCAGCATAGTAAGTAGCTTTGTTCTGTAAAACATCTTCCTCCTTAATTGTTTTACTTCAAAGATCTGATGAAATATACATATAGAAAAAGTCTGAAATACATATACCTTCAAGCAAGATCTTGTGAAACGACCCCCCATGTTAAGAAGTTGCCATTCTAGTATCTTAGAGCCTTTTCCTACATCCCTCCTCTGCTACCACCTCCTCCCTCCTCTCAAAAGTAACAACTTGACTGGTTTTTATGATAATCATTATATTGATTTCCTTTACTAGCTTTACCACCATCACCATGTGTAAATGGACTCATATTACATGCATTCTCTGTAATCTTCCTCCTTCTCACTCAGCATTTTGTGTAAGGGTCACCCAAGTTGATGAGTGCAGCTGTAGTAACTCATTTTCTCTGATACATGAAGTCTCCATTATATTAATATACCAGGAGTTATTTTTCCAGCCCATTACTGATGAACATTGATCTCATGGTTTCCAGCTTTATTGTTTCTGTGAACAACACTGCCACAAATATTCTTGTACACATCTCCCTAGAGACACACGTTTGCAAATGTTTCTTTGGGAGCTATCTTATCACCTAGGGATGGAATTACTGGGTTGTCAGTTCCCACTTGTTCAACTTTACTAGGCTTTTAGAATACGTCTTATGGCTTTGTGTATTTTCTTATAATTAAAAAAATTAGTTTTCTCCCTAGTTATTTAAAAAATTCATTCTTTTTAAAAAGTTAAAAACATGATTCTCATACGAATACAGGATGAACATATGTCAAAGACTTTAACTCAGCGATTGATGAGGGAACCATTAAGATGGTCACGTCTGGTTCAAAGAAGAGTTTGAGGAATGGAGATTTACATTGTTAGTTGGTCAAAGGAATGCTGAAATGCTGTTGCTAACAGATAAAAAACTGGTTAATGTCTTATAGGGTAATAAAACCATAACCTTGATTTTATCTTTTTCACCAGTCATTAATCCATTAGTCAACATAACTTTATAGTATCTGGGCTCTAATCAAATAGTAAACAATAAGCAAACACAGGTGTATTTTAGATCACTAAATGTTTCTTAGATGAGCTTGTTCAGCAATGACATTGACAGGGCATGTGGTCAGTCTCCTGCCTTCTTTCCAAATTTGGGATATTTTTTCTTAGCAATACTATACTTTGCTTCCAAGTTTGTGGTGTGGATCAAATGAGAATGTATTAAAGTGCTTTGTGTACCATAAGGTGCCAAATATACTTTCATTATTATGGTCATTTCACAAAGCCCCCTGAATAATCTATTGGATTTAATATGGACATGGGAAGGGAATTAATTATTGAATATCTATTTTTAAACTATTGTTTTAATCTCATTTAATTCTTGCAAAAACACTGAAAAGACACCAAATTGGCTTCAGTTTTTCTGTCTATAAGATTGGAATAATAGTAGTACCTATCTCATTGGGCTGTTATAAGAATTAATGGCTAATATAAATTTACTGTTAAAAACAGTGCCTGATGTACAGTAAATACACAAGACATGTTGGTTCACTGAGTGTCTAATCTGTTATTTGAACAAATTTACTGAAGATTACTTTTAATCACAATATATTTTATTTTTAGAAGCTCCATTTGGGTCTTCTTTTAAAAATCTGCTTTATTGAAAAAAATACTTACTGTCTCATGTTTTAAATTCCTTTTGTCTTTCATCTTACAAAACCTACTTACATACAGTCTGTCTTCAATACGATTATGTAAAATGTGGGTCTAATCCTGTCTTTTGTTGTGTCTACCAATTCTCACTGGGATTGTTTCACTTTTTCCTCTAATTAAAAGATTTGCTAGGTGCTCTGTCTCCGCAAAATAGATCTTAGTCTCTACAGTTAATTTTTTAAACCCTAGCTTATTAACTAGAGATGGCTGGGTTCCTCAGGCCAGCTGGGAGCACAGGAACCCATAGTGTCATCATGGCCTTGTGACAATAATACGTGTCCCTCTTTTCTAGATTTTTAATTTATACCCCATTTTTTTGCAGTTCAGCCCAATGCACTGCTAGAGTCATCTGTTTTATATTTTGGGGTTATTCTTCTAGCCTGGAAACCAGTATTCATTTTAATAAATGTCCCATTGTGTGATGAAGTTATCACTCTTGGTCAACTAACTCTTCTGAGCCTTGGTTTTCTCTTCTGTAAAAAGGGGCCGATAACAGGGACATGGAAGTTTAGTTATTGTGCACCACGTCGTCTGTCACAGTGTAAGCATTCTGTATCAACTTTTGTCGGTATTATTTTTCTTTGTACCAGTCTTGCCCCACTAACACGTATAGTCTCAAATCCCATGCAGCCTGATGTTACAACCATTCTAAGAATATAACCACTATTAGTTCCTTGCCCCTTCCACAGTGTGCCCCTAATCTGACTGTGTCTAGCTCATCCGTCCTCAGTTTTTTCTGGGCAGCATCTTTCTTGTCGACCTCTATACACACCGTGCTCTTTCATCTCCCCACTTGGATGGAGTCTTCCCAGCCTCCATGACCTCATTCTTTTCAGCCTCTAACCGAATCAGTTTACCATCCTTCAGAGCTCCACTAAAGTTCCATGTCCTTTATGAAGGCTTTTCACCAAGTTTATTCCATACTAACCTCTTTTTTGAACTCAAAAGCCTCTGCAGAGAGTACCACAGAGTGTAGCTTTCTCAGGATGTGGTGGTTTTGCTCATGGTGTGGCTGTGGCTGTCCTCCTAACTAGACTGAACATTTTCCTACAGGAAAAGGACACGTTCCAGTTCAAATCAGTGTGCTCATGTATTTTTAAATTTTGGCATTTTAAGCATTTATTTGGTGGGAATTGGGGGCCTGGCTGGTGGTTGTGTCCCTCCAGAGAGGATTTCTCTCTATTTCTGCAAGATGTTCCTTGATTACCAATCTGGAACCACATCTTTCATTAATTTTTTTCAAGCTGGGGGCACCTGGATTTTCAGGTAGTGTAAATTTCAACCCCCAACCCAAGTGAGGGTAGACTTGTGGTTATGAATGCTTAGTTCTTTGAAGTAGGAGCTACTAGAATAGAAACTTAAGGGATTTTAAAAAACTGAACTCTGCAACTGAATGGGTTATCTTTATTGTTACACTGAAGTCAGAGCACGAGCTTAGGTGCAATGGTTCTTTAGGGTATGTGTGATTCAGTCCTGGTTTTTCATCCACGGGAAGGTGTGGTGCAGGTATGCTGTTCCCCTTGTACAGAAACAGAAATTGAAGCCAGGAGGACACTCGGACTGGATAGGTCCTCTGGGGGATGATGAAATAAGATGATGGACCCTCATGGGAGGAAGACAGACAGTCTTCATCCATACATTATTCCCCAAACCCATCTCTGGCCCTCTCCCCTTCCCCAACAGTCCAGACCCTGCCTCAATTCTTCATAGAGGAGAAAACCACCCACTTTCGTGGGTAGAGTATTTGAGTCGCAGAGAACTTTTATGCAGCTCCTTGTTTTTCAGCTGTGCTGAGAGACAGGCGAAATGGCTTTTTTTCTTCCAATTTTATAGATGAGGTATCTGGGAAACTGGGGCTCAGGTTTGGTGATAGGATTTGTTGGGAAGGCCACACATTCAAATGGTCCATCTGGAATTCTCTCATTCTTTGCCATCTCAGGCTTTGGGATCTGGGAGGTACTCAGAATGTTGATAATGGATTTTTGTTTGGGTTTTACTGACGTGAAATCCCCATGACACACAATTAGCCATTTTAAAGTGAACCATTCAGTGGCATTTAGTGCAGTCATCATGTTGTACAATCACTACTTCTATTTTCAAAACTTTTTCATCATCCCTCTCTCTGGGATGTTGTGCAGAATGGAAGAGATTATCTGTGTCCGACATCCAGCTCAGGGCCTCACCCCTGGTAGGGGCTCAGTGAGTGGGGGCCTGTATCATCAGACTCTGTCTAGCTCTCTCATAAACCTGGTAATATAGAGAGAGGAATTCTTTGCTAAATTTAGCACTTTGAGAAAATCAGGTTGAGGGTATGTGAAGTATTCATGTCCCAATCATTTTTTAAAATGACATTTTAAAATTTGCTCTCTTCAGGAAACCTTCCCCAAGGAGCTCCTGTTCTTGAAAGCAGCTGGACACATTGACCTACCACTGCCTGAGTCCTGCATCACATACTGTCACAGAGCATCTTAGTTTTTGGAAAGAGTTTGTCTTCTCTGCCAGGCCATGACATACTCAGCCTTGAGGTAGGTACCACAGTGCTCTACCTTTTCCTGGGTACAAAAAAGGTGCATAACAGGTATGTGTTGGATTGTCTCATAGTGGCCAGCCAGCTCCAAAATTCCCACCACCGCCTGGTGACCAGCGTTTTCCCCACATTTGAGATAGTGGTGTGGTGACTGACGAGGTGATTGTTGGGAGCAGGGCTGGAGCCTGACTGGGGCGGTCTGGGCTCTGGTTGGCCTCCCTTGGACAGCTCTGGCTGAGACAGGACATGCGAGGTTCTGGCTCCCACACCTGTGCCGCACAGCCGATGGAAGGTGAGAGCTGCAAGCAGGCTAACCCAAGAATAGAACAGCTTTAGTCTTTATTTAAATGTGCCAATTTCAGGAGCAAAGGTCTCAGGCCCCAAGAAGTTGTGACTGTCCCTTTGGCTTCGTATGTCACCAGGTGTTGAAGTGAGGTGAAGTGAGGGCCAGGGGTGGCTGAGGTAGGGGTTGGTGGGGAGCGTGGCTGGGGAAGTTAGGATGGGAGCCTGCATGTGGCTGGCAGGCCTAGAAACGCATCGTGTTCAAATCGATGGACAGATTTTCCCTCTGGCGACCTCTCAGGGCTCTCCATATCATCATTGCACTGACACCAACCACCAGGCCGCCTCCTGCCGCCACTGGCAGGGCCCAGGAGAGCACCTGGGGGCCTGCTTCAGCCTGGTCTTGGAGCAGCTGACTGTTCCTCAGGGTACGGAGGTAAGGGCTCTCCTGGGGAGGAGGAGAGGGTCAGGGTTAAGGGCCTGAAGACCATCCATCTGAGGCCTGCTTACTGCCCCTCCCAGAGACAGCACAATAATCTTGGTTCCACCACTCTTCCCTGTTTGTAACACACCTTCATCCACGCTGTGCTCAAAGCCAGTGCCCATCCACTCACCCTGTGAATGAGGAGGGGTGTCCGAAGTGGCCAATACCTAGCCACAACTTTTGGTTTCTTACCGACATCAACTTCCCTGTTAATTTTGCAAGGTTGGAAACTGACAGGTGACCCATGGGGAGCTGGCAGAGCCCCACCTCTGTTTCCTCCAGGCCCCTACTGGACAACTAGTCCCATTCTCCCAGCCCAGGGGTGCCCGGGAGCGGGAAAGGCGGGTGGAGGGACAGCTGGTTCTGTAGTAGATGAAGAACCCAACATGTGAAGGACCTGCCTCCCTGGAATCTTTCCTCCCTCCCACTGATGGTGTGCTTGCCATGGGGAGCCCAGTGCTAGGAGCTGGGAGAGTGCCTGGGGGTTCAGATGTGACATCTGTCATCATCCATTTGGGAGATAAGACGTGTTCAGAAACAATCACATCACAAAGGAGCCTGAGTCAGTGCTTGTGAGGTGCACACAGAAAAGAGAGACCAACAGAGGTGTGTGTCTGGAGCGGGTACAGGAGGGTGAAATGAGGTGAACGGCAGCCTGGGGAGGGCAGCATCTGGGCCTTGCAGGATGTGAGACATTCCTGCAGGCGGAGATGGGGGACGTGCCTCCTTGAGGAGCCAATGGCAGAAGTGAGAGCACAGATGGGGGCCATCGTGGGGCTTCTCTGGGAAGATGCTCTGTTTTCCGGGAGCAGAGTGCGTGCCTAAGGTGGTAGAGGAAGAGGGGCCTCCGTCTGGACTCTCTTCAGTGGGCACAGGGACCAGGCTTCAGGCAGCCTCGAAAAGACTGGAGTTCCTTCCAGGTGGGCTGCTCTGTGTCAGGCAGTGATTACAAGATGGACGGAGGAGGGAGAGCCAGGGAAGAGGTAGGGGCTTGGTCAGTGGTCCGGGTGAGGGCCGTGCGGGCCTGGAAACTGGCAGTGTTGGAAAGGGAGGAAGAGGATGCAGCCTCCCGGCACAGACACACGGTGTCTCATTTCTCTTTGCCTTCTGACCCTCTGCTCTCGGTAGCCTTCCTGGCAGGGGAGGCCCCCTTGACATATGCTTAAGACGGAGGATGCCCAGGCTCCCCGGGGATCATGGGAATAATGAGGTTCTGGCCAGTGCTTGCTCATCTTCCTCCCCTTAGGGCCTCTTCCTGCTTCAGCGAACCCTCTGCTTCCTCCCTCCCCTCACTCACCCTGAGAAGGCGCCGAGAAGCATGGGGCAGTGAGGAGAGGTGAGATTTGAGAATGGTGGTAGTGAGTAGAACGTGCATGATGTAAAGCCTCCCAGGGGACTCTTGCGCCTCCAGGTGGCCAGGAACCTCCCCCAGCCCCAACCCGGGCACCTGTTCCCCACCCGACAGGTGGGACCTTACTCACAGAAGACGGGCACTTGAGTTTGGTTCTGCTGTAGGTGAAGTTGTTGGAGGTCGTCTTACCGCCAACTGGTTCCAGCTGAGGGAGAAAAGGAAACCCTGATTCCCTCCCAGACTAGGGGAGAGCCCCCCATCGGAGGCGTATCTCACAGCGGATTCCCTCCCTTTGCAAGGCTGAAACCAGCACAGGGGCAAGACTCATGGCAGAAATTAGCAGCCCCGCGGCTGGAGCTGGACCTGACCTCTGACTCACAGAGTGGCAAGTCAGAGTCCATCAGAGCAGTGAGACCCTGAGTCTGTGTCTTGGATTTATTGAGGAGGACACTGAGGCCCAGGAGAGCCGGGCTGGTCCAGAGGCTCCACTGAGTAGATGGGAAGGCAGGGCCCAGAACCTCCATCTCCTGCTTCCCTTGTGGGTGGGTGGCTGTGATTGCAGACACTGCATTTTCAACTTTATAAAATGGTGATAATCATATTTACCAACTTCGTGAAGTGTGTGGGGCTAGTCAATTTCAGGAAAACTCGGAAAACATGCTGGTTACCATGACACCGTTACTACACTTGGCTTGTCAACCCGAAGAAACTGGAGTTTTCTCACTTGAGCTACTTCTGGCTGTTTTCCGCATAGATGAAAAGGTTTACTTGAAATATCCTGGGAGCAGTTGTGGTTCAAGGAGGTTCTGCTTAATGCCTTTCATCCTGGGGCCCTCTGAGAATGAGCTGGAAGCTGCTGTAACCACCCCTTCCCCTGCCCCCTAGCATCTTTGGCCTGTAGCCTGTCTCCTGACATGTGGCCAGCACCGAGGAGAATGAATCCCTGGCACTCAGCCATTCAGGCTCGGTCCTGAACGTCTAGGCTCCACCCATCATATAACCTGCTTCCCTACCTGTCCCTGACCTCATCAGCTCCTGACTCCCAGGTACTGCCAGTGAGGGAAGTGAAAGTATGCTATGCCAGCTAATGACCACCCCTGGCCATGACCTTGCTTTTTGTTGGCTTAAAGCCTTTCACACCTGCTTGTCAGTAACAATTAGAGGCAGAAGGGCTGCTCTGGTCCTGGGAGAGACACCACGGTGACTGGACACAGCACAGTGGGCACATCGGCTGGGGGCCTGGCTCTGCTGATGAGCAGTGTGGTGCCTGAAAGACTCCTGAAATGCCCCCAGGTTGGGCAGAGGCATTAAACCCTGTCCTGAAAATTCCACGTTTGGTTGTTGTGAACATCAAAGGAGAAGATGAAACGTGTGAGCAGGAGGCGGCTGACATAAGTAAGACAGTATTATTTCTACTATCACAGAACCACCTAGTGACAGAACGAATGCCGCAGATCAGGTTGGCTGATTCCCAGTGATATTCCAGGAGCCCAGGAACAAACTGGTGTAGAAGAAGGTAATGATCATATGGGTTTGATGATTGTATCAGTTTCTCCCTTTCCTCTGGTTCGTTGGCATCAGTGCACAACCCACTCTATCTCCCAGCCTTTAACTGTCCCCCTGGTCCCACCCTCCTCCAGCTGCCTTCACCACTGCTCTTCATAACTTTAGGAAGAATCGTTTGTAGCCACTGGTCGCGCTTGCCAACCTCCCATTCTAATACCCATTCCAATAGGTTCTTTAGTCTCTGTCACTTGACTGAAGCTCTGGTGAAGGTCACCAATGACCTCCATATTGCCGATTCAGTGGGCATTTTTTTTGGTCTTCATCTTGCTTGACTTTTCAGCAGTATTTGTCCAAGTTGATGCCTCCCTTTCAAAATACTTCTCTTGGCTCCTGTGACACGCACCTTTGTTTCTTCCTACCTCCCCACTCTCCTCATCTGTCCCTGGGTCAAAAGTTGGAATGAACACCCTAGGGCTTGGCAGGTGGTCCTCTACTTTTCCCACCTAGTCTTTCTCTAGGAGCTCGCAGTCAATCCCATGGTCTTGAATACCACTTCTGTGCTAATAACTGCCACGTTTCCCCGCTAAATCTCCATTCCTGACTATCTCTGAGCTCCAGAATCATACATTTAACACCTTACCTGATACCTCCAGGTGGATTTCCAGGAGGCAGCTCTTACTTACCATGTCCAAAATGAGAACTTTTGATTTTTACCTTCCCAGCCCTATGTCTCTCTGCATGTGTCCACCATCTGTCCAATTTCCTTAACCCCAAACTCAAGTTATCTTTTGTTCCTCTTCTATTTCATCACCAGCCAGTCCAAGACACATCTATATACCTGATCACTTCTCTCCTCCTCTGCTGTCACCCTGGTCCTGGCCACCTTTATCTCTTACGTGGACTTTAGCTTCTGAAAGGTCTTCCTAATTCCACTCTTGCTTCCCTCTAGTCAATCTAAACAGTGGCCAGTGGGCCGACCAGATCAATGGCTTTCCATTTCAAAGCCCTCCCAGGACTTGGCCCCTGCTGTCGCCCACCTCTCTGCCCTTGCTCCCTCCCCTCCAGCTGCACTGGCCTTGATGCATCTCAGACACTTCAAACTCATTCCTGACTCTGGGCCCACACAGGTCCTGTTTCCTCTGCCTGGAACACTCTGGCCCGGGACCTCTGCACGCCTGGCAGCCTCTCGACATTCAGTTCTCAGTTCACATGTCCCCCTCTGGTGAGGCCTCCCTCTCCCCCTCCCTTACTCTCTGTCACATCACCCTTTTTTTTTGTTTTTTTAAACCCTGCATGTTGTCAGAAATTACTTTGATTTGTTTGGGTTTTTTTTAATCTCTTTTCTCTACCAGACTGTGAGCTGCACGGGAAGCGGGGACAATCTTTTCCCAGCACCTGAAGCAGTACCCGCTGCATAGGGCACTCCAGAAATGGATGGATCAACTGGAGTCACAGAGACCTGGAAGACGGGGCCTGGGACTGGCCATGGGACAGGAGTTGTGTTTCCTAGAACCCGTCTTTCCTAAGGTGGACCCTGAGGACATCAACCATGTGGCAAATGACTGCGACAAAGCAGGGGGCAAGGTGGGCCTCCAGTCTGCTCTGGGGACTCAGCTGGTACCTGAGGTGAGTGCTGATGTGGGTAAGAGCTAGCCAGGAGAAGGGGCTGAAAGGGCCGCGGGAGACAAGGAGAAAGCAGAGTAAACCCACAGAGGCATGTAGGAGTGAGGTGATGTTGCAAGCTGCACTCCTGGCTGGATGGCCAAGTGCAAATCCAGGGGAGGCCGAGCGGCTGCTGGAGAGGTTAACTGGGGCCAGGTCGCAGAAGGCCCAGGGTGCTGGGCTGAGGGGTTGGCCTTTCTTCTTCAGGGAAGGCCAGACCTTGGAAGTCTGAGTGACCTGGTCAGATTTCATTAAGGAAGACTGCTGTGGTTGCCCTGTGGCAAACAGATCTCAGGCAGTGGTTCGCAAACCACATATAACAATATCACCTGGGGCGCTTTTAAACTGTACTGAGCCCAGGTGCTATCCCAGACTGAGTCAGAAGTTCTGGAGGGTGAGACCCAGACACTGGCATTTTTTTTTAAAGTGAACTTTTTACTGAAGCTAACATATGTAGAGAAACAAGTACAAATCACAAGTGAGCTACTGATAACTTGTGGTGAAATGGGCTTGCCCACGTAACTAGCATCCAGATCAAGGGACAGAGTAACATCAGTTCTTGGAAGCCCCCTCCTCCTCTCTTCCAGTACAGTTCATCCCCCAGTAAGACCATGCATTAATTCTCTTGTTTTTGAAGTGTGTGTGTGTGTGTGTGTGTGTGTGTGTGTGTAGTTGCATATTGTTGCATATTGTATTCGCAATGCTGTAAGCTATTCTATTGTATGAAGGTACCACGGTTTGTTTATCCAATCTGCTGCTGGTAGGCATTTGGGGAGTTTCCCATTTAAGGACTGTGAATAGGGCTGCTATGAAAATTCTGTTGTGCCCATCTTTTGGTGAATCCGTGTCTACCTTTCTGTTAGGGACCTACATCGGAGTGAAATTGTGGGGTCACAGCAAATACATATGTTCAGCTTTAGTAGATATTCCAAGGTTTCCCAAAGTGCTTGTAGGTAATAATTGTTTTTAAAAGTCCCCAGGTCATTGTCATACACAGCCAGGGCTGATTATTGCTCTTCTAATGGCTGTAAGCCTGGAGACAGGGATGCCAATTAGGAGACTAGCATTGTCACCCAGCGCCCGGGGAGATGTCAGTGTTAGCTGAGAGGGAGCAGGCAGCCATGGGGGAAGAGACATCAGAAAAGAGGAGGAGAAATTATTCATAAGAAGACAAGAGGAGGAAAATGTTCCCTAGTGCTGTTGATGTTTCTGGCTTTGTGAAAGTGTCTGGAGAAGGAGGCAGAAACTGTTCAGGGAGATGAAACATTTTCAAGTATTTGTTGCCACAGTGGGGTACCCGAGGTGTCAGCCAAAGCCTGCAGACACTATGTCATAGGACCCTAATTACGAGACATGAATTCACCAGTTACACATGTGCTTATCAGATTGGGAGCTGGGAGGCAGGGTGGTGTTGTGGCCGGGCCACTTGGCCATTAGACCTGGGTTCTAATCCCTGTTCTGCCACTAACTGTCTGTGTGGTCCTGGACAAACTGCCCCATGTCTCTGTATTTCAGTTACAGAACATCCTGGCTAGATGACCTCTGAGATCCGGTCCAGTGCTATTGGTTTCTTATTAATTTTCTGTCACTCCAGGGGTAAAATTCTAGTAAGAAAGATGATGATCTGAAAAGTTGGCATAATGCTGTAGCTTTATATCTGAGATGGCTCTGGATGAAAACACTGGACCATGTCATTATTTCCCTAAACGCTATAGCACAGGAAAAGATGCTGTTAGATGATTTTAGATTTGTTTTACTTTTAAAATTTGGGGCATGGCTGAGACAGTGCCTGGTGAGCCATGGGCAGTCTCATAGTATAAATAATATGGCTCCATGGCAGTATTCACCTTTTGTTTACAGATCTAATCCCTCCCACTTGCTTTTATGAAACAGAAGCCTCTCACCTGGGTAGATGGGAAGAACTACTGAGCTGCTTTGGAAGAGAAGGCCAGAACCACATTAATTCGCTCAGAATGAGACCAGTGGGCCCTGTCATGTTCAAGTTATCAACATGGCCTTTAAGCCCCAGGAGGCCCATGAACGGTCCTGGCAGTAAGAAGGCTCAGAATGCCACCAGGTAGGAAGACCACACCTTGATGGGAATGCTTGGGGTAGGGAAGGGCTAAGGGCTTAGCATTCCTGCCCCTCCTGGGAATCTGTGGATTTCCCTGTATTCACAGGGGGATACATGGGACCATGTGTAGATATGCAGTCTTTGAGGGGAGTTTAAAGGAATGGAGGAACTCTGCCACTGCAAGACGACTGGCCTCCAAAGCAAAAAATTTTCAAAGAAAGAAACTGCTCTCAGGAATTACAGTGTATAAACTTTGGTTAACTTTGATTTTAAAAATTAGGATGGAGGTAGGGTTGGGAGGGAACTCAGACATTTTGTGAAGTCACACAGAGACAGACAAATATATGATATCACTTACATGTAGAATCTAAAAAATAGTACAAATGAACTTATTTACAAAACAGAAACAGATTCACAGACAGAAAACAAAACAAACTTATGGTTACCAAAGGGGCAGGGGGAGGGAATGATAAATTAGGAGTATGTGATTAACAGATACAAACTACTGTATGTAAGATTCTACTGCATTTCACAGGGAACTATATTCAATACCTTGTAATAACCTATAATGGAAGAAAATCAAAAAGAGTATATATATATATATATATATATATATATACTCTTTGTGTATATATATATGTATATACACACACAAATGAATTTTTGTATATATATACACACACACACTAATGAATCACTTTGCTGTACATCTGAAACTAACACAATACTGTAAATCAACTATACTTCAATTTAAAAAAAAGACGTTTTGATTGCAATTCTGAGTCCTAGGCTGACAGATGTGATGAAAGTTCTAAGAGTGGGCAGAATGTGATGTCAACAGGAGGAAAACACCGGGAAAACAAAAGCAGAGGAAGACTGAGTCTGCAGTTAAGTAGGCCGAGGATAAAACCTCCTCCCATGCTGTCCTGAGAAGAGGAGGTTGCTAGAGAGGAGGAGGTGGCGTAGCTAAGGAGAAAGTCAACACTGTGAGTCAGCCGAGTGAGACACTGGACATACTGGGCGAGCGGACAGCTGTGGGAATATTTGCACAGTGCTGGTTGGCAGCGCCACAGTGGGCCTGACACTGCGATAAAAGGAGCAGGAGTGGGGACTGTTCCGTCACCATGGGAGAAATGAGGGAGCATGCAGGTTGGGGTGGGGATTGGGTTACCCGCTGAGCCTAGATCAAAAGAAGCCAGTGGGTTGGAAAGGCATTTCATTTGCTCTGTGCAGGAGGATACAGCTCTCAGGGTGAACAGTCAAGCTCTGTGCAAACACAGCTGATTGTCCAGTAGTGAGTGGCCAGACATAAAGGGCAGAGGCAAGGCACAAGGCTGGGTTGTTCCTGTGGCCCTGGGCTGTAGGTTCATTTCATTAGGTCCCCATTCTCCCCATCAGAAAAGACTAGAATAGGTGGCAGCCAGGGGAAACAGGCTGAGGGGCTCTTTCCTCTGTGATGTGTAAGGAAATAATAGTTGGGAGTGTGTCGAGACTGGAGTAACAGGGCTGACATCTGTTGAAGGCCTATTATTGTGCTGGGGGCTGTGTATACATTTTTGTTATTTTTGTAGATGATATTGATACAAATGGTTGGAGAGAGATCATTTGCCCATGGTCACACCATTAAGGGGTTGAAGCTGACATTCTGATCCCGTCTATCTGATGACAAAGTTATTCCCCAGCAGCATGGGGACATTCCCGAAAGAATAACCTCCTTTGTCCTACATAATAGTATCTCCAAATCCAGCTAGTTAGGGAAATATTTAAGGTGTGAACTCATGCAAGATTACTGGGCAGATAGGAGCTCTGAATGACTGTTCAACATGAAGTACTTGGGGATGAAGCCAAACAAAGCAAAACAACAATAGAATCAAAACATCATAGTAATAATTGATTCCCCCAACTTCTTAAGAAACCCTGGTTATGCTTCTCACTATCTGTTAATTTGAGTTTCTATCTATGTGAAAGCAAAACAAGTATACGGTGTCAGCACTATAGCAGTTAGAGGGCTAGAGTGGGGAACCGGGAACCCAGCAGATTCCCTGAGTTGAAGGAGATAAAGCTGAGCCTGGGGGAAAGTAAGGTAGCTAGAGCGAGGGCTAGCTCAGCGGGACAGGGTGAGAGGGAGAGAAGGATAGAGGGAGATTTTGAACTTCAGGGAGAAAGGAACCATGTCAGTCAGCAGGTTTGTTGTTACGGGAAAGAGAGCAGTATCCTGGGGTTGCCCCCCGCCCCCGGCACAAGCTGGCTGGACCCTCCGGCACTCACCATGTTGTTCCAGAGAGCGATGGCCATCTCTGCATGCCCGCGTTCTGAGAAGTGGAAACAGTCCTCAGAGAAGAAGGTGAGGTCAGCGCCCCCTCGCTGTGAGTAGAGACAAGGGGATTATCTTCTGGGACAAGGGCACTGCTACCTGCCCCCCAACCCAGCAGTGCCCTGAGCCTTTTCACTTTCATCCCTTCAAGTCTGCTGCCAACTGGCCCCAATATTGATGGAGAAACTCCCTGATTTGGGAATTTTTATTTTTTAAAAAGTATAGCCATCCATCGCCCATCCCTCTGCCTTCAGCCTCTCTGCCCTAATAGTTGAAAAGGAATAATAACATTTTTTGGAAGCTTTCCATTTTATCCCAGTCCAGTAAATCACAGGGCCATGCCTGGAAAACTTGGCCACTGTTAATTTTCTCCTTTTCTTTCCAAGTACATCTAAGCTCTAGTGATGCCCCCCCCTAAAAGGTGGGGAGCAGGGAAAAGGAGGAAAAGCAGAAAAAGCAACTCCTTGGGAGCACTCTTGGAGAGAGATGGCCCAGAAAGTCCCACAAAGAGAAGGAAACACATTGCCTAAGATCTGGCTTCTACACACGCGCCTCCCAGACATGCCCGCGGCTTACGTCATTCAGAGGGACGAGAGTGTTCTGGAAGAAAGGCTGCACGACCACGGCGAAGTCCTCGCGCTGCAGGTACTCGTGCTGGTAGGAGAACCTGGAGAGGCCGCTCTGGGGATGGGGAGAGAGGCTGCTCAACCTCCCGGCAAGGCTGGGCAGGCAAGGCTGGGCAGACGGGGTCTGTTCCTGTGGGCTTGGGTGGGTTGTGTCGGGGGCCAAGTGGTTCAAAGGAGCTGCTTCGGTGCACCTGCTTAGTTTGTACCAGGCGTGGGCACCACCCTAGCTCCTCTCTGAAATGAGTGTCCATGGTTTTTGGATTAAGTGCCAAAATATGGACCATAAAAGGGATAGACTAGATGTGCTTATCCTCAAGGAGCTTATAATCCATCTGGGGAAACATGAGACGAGATGTAAAAACCACGAGAACCAAGTAGGGCTTTGGGTCAGCAAAGTGCTGGTGGAAGTTGCCACGGGGAGCTATGTGAGGGGGCAACTCCTTAGAGGAGGTGAGAAGACAGGTCCTGCTCATGAGATGGACACGCTGCAGGGAGGTGGGGAGTGGGCAGGTCAAGGGAGGGGCAGCAAGAGCAGAGATGGACTTGAGAAGCTAAGGAGGGAGGGAGACCAAGGGCAGTGAACACAGCCCCTCTCTCCTCTGGGTAGGGGATGGTGCCACCTCTGGGAGCTGAGAGCCGCTCCCCTGCTCAGGGCTGAAGAGGGTGGGGAGGCAGGGTTCTCCTAGCTCCCTTGCTGAGGTTCCCTGCCCCCACCCCCCAGCACTGGTGTTTGATTTGCCTGGATATGCATTTTGGGGGCTAGGATCTGCCTTGAGAGAGTGGCCTTGCTCACCGCATACTTTCAGAATCCTTGCTGTAGGAGTAAAGATGGATTGTGGGGTGCAGGGAGAGGGGGGGCAGGTTCACCTGGAAGTTCCAGTTCACTGTCTTCAGTTTCTGCATCTCCGGGGAGTTCTCCTGGGAGCCTCGGAGGCAGGTGCAGTTGCTCCTGGGAGACAAGCAGTCCTGTGGCTGTGCCCCGGGGAGGCTGACACCACCCCCCGACCCCCAGAAGCTGCTGGACCCCTTGCTGCCTCACGGGGGAGGTTGGCCACACACAGTTGCCCCCACAACACAACCTTGTTGCCTCTGGAGCCCAGGTCACAGAACTGCAGCTCAGGGGCACGAGGTCCAGAAGGTGGAAGAGTTGGCACCCAATGCCCAGCTCTCCTGTGGACAGGCTGCCCAATTGGCTGCTCTACCCAAGCCCGCGGCTCCTAGGGTTGCTGTGGAGGAGGACTGGGGAGGGACAGCGCTGGGGCTTTGGGACGACTGCCATGGTGGCCCAGCCTTTCTTCCTCCTGTTCCCATCTCTACCTTCAGCTGTTTCGGACTCGCCCTCGGGCTGCAGAGTGAGGGGGTCTCTTGGGCAGCTGGGGAGGGTCAGCCAGCAGCCTCCAGCCCTTGGCATCTCCATGTGGGGCCAAATTCCAGGAAGAAAGGGAACCACCTGGTCACCTGCCCAGCAAATCTGGCCCTGATAGGACTCCTCCGCCCCTGCAGAATCTCCTCCCCCATAACAGCAGTCACAAGGACTTTGACCCTTGGGCCTCAGAAGATGGTGACTTTCTACAGGGTCAGAGCTGAGCTTCAGTAAGATTCCAGCCCCAGCAGGAATTCTCATCCTGCACGTTGTACCTTAGCTCCAAGCCTGGCTTTCAAGGACAGTCCTATCAAGGATGTTATAAAAGCTGCTGTTTCCTGAGTCCCTGCCCCACGGGGACCATGCATTTTACGGGCATTTCTGAAAGGAGATTTTACAGGTGGGAGTAAAAGGCCCAGAGAATTTGTGTGGTTTGTACAAGGTCCGTAGCTTCTCAATGGCAGAGCCAGGATTTGAGGCCAGATACGGCTGTCTTGAAACCTCCTTGCCTGGTGCTGCCTCTCAAATACGGAACAACTCGCTGAAGTTGGAGTCTGGCATCACAGACAATGTCAGGGGCCCTTACGGATCATTTGATCTGTCTGCCTCACTTTTCAGAAAAGCAAACTCAGGTCCAGAGGAATAAATTGACTTACGTACAGTAAGCATTCAGTAATGTAGCGGCATTTCCAGATGGGTTCCCAAGCCCCTGGCTAATTGCTGATGTCTGCCTGCTGGCCAGGCCTGTCTGGCTCTGCCTGCATGGGTCTCACCCCCTAGCAGCTGTGAGCCCTGCTCTCCCCAGGTGCCTCAGCCCTGGGGCCACGTACGTGTACTTACTGGGCAGCCAGTGGCATGACACATTTCCCGCCTTGGCCCTGGTGCAGGCCAGCCAGCTCCATGACCTCCACCAAGTTGACGAAAGCCCTTGGAAGCTGTGGGGAGCAGAAGGGTGGGTTTTAGAAGTCTCCAAGCAGTTTTAGAGGGCACTGGTCACTGCTTATGAGAGCCTGGGGGGATCATCTACACTCTCATGTCCCCCTCCTCAGTTTAACCAATAAACTGAGGCCCAGAGAGGGAACATGCCTTTTATTATCTCTTGGAACCTTCTTTATTGACCCCACTTTACAGACTGGCAATTGGAGACACAGAAGCCACTTGCTCAAAGTCCCAGTGCTAGTAAGCCACAATGCCTGGCTACCAACCAGGCCAACTGGCCCCAGAAACAAGTTCTTTGCCACCAAACCACACAGTCAGATCCAGTTAGAATCCTCCCCTTAGATGAGCTGGGCAGCTACCTCCCTCCCATCCCGTCCAGGTACCTGCTGGAGGTGGGGCTGTGCTCAGCGTGCATCTTGCTGAACACAACTTGTCTGGACGCACCCAGGGAGCAGCCCCTGGTGAGTGAGCATCCAGCCAGGCTGCTGGCAGGAAGTGGGGCCCAGGAATGTGCCACTGCGCTTTCCTACCTCCTTGTAGAAGATGTCCAGGGCCTGTTGGATGTGCCGAAGATACTCCCCGGGCGAGTAGGCCTCCTGTGAAGAAAGAACGGTTCTCTTCAGCCCCTGGGCTGCACACTGAGAGGAGGAGGAGAATAGCCTGATGCCCAGCACAGAAGGGCACTGGACGGGCTGGGAAACCCAGCCCTTGTTGCTGGTGGACAGTCTTAGAAGAAGTCACGCACCTTGACCCTTAGCTAGACGCCATGAACAGTCCCCACCCCACCCTGCTGCATAGTTTCTCCAACCCAAAGGCAGGCCCTGTCTGTGCTGGGCCACACCGCCTCCTGCTCCATCCCACTGGCCTCTGCCTTCCCAGCCACAACAGGACCCCCGTGGCCATGTTCTCTTGTTCCTCTGACCTTTGGCCTGTGCTGGCCCTGCTGTCTGGAACCCTCTGCACTGCCTCCCCCGACTCAGCCCAAGGGTCCCACCTCTGACCCATTTCCCAACTGGAGGCTGATTTGGCCTGAGTTAATCCTGGTGGTGGTCTTGGGGTCCTTTCCACAAAAAGATGCTCTCAGGAGCGTAAACCTGTTTGCGTGAGGGACAGGAATTGGGGGGGGGTCACTTCTGCCTCTAGATTCTGGGCAGTGAGGGGAAGAGCCCCTGGGTGGGGGAGGCTGGTTCTCATCAAGAATTTGGTGACTGTCTCTGAGCCACAAGGAATGATAAATGCCTTCTCCCTGCTGCCTGTGGCTGTCAAACATTCTACCACGACCTTTGAGTTGTGGTAGCTGCTTATTTTCTGGCCCAATAAAATATAGCACATCCTCAACTGAGAACAAGATACATTCCAGAAATTACAACTTCCAAAAGTTTGGACTTATTTCCCCATAGAAACGTTAGGAACGGGTAGGGTTCCCAGACCGGCTGAGATTGGGTAGCTCGTGTTGACCCTGAAGGACAGCAAGCCGTCGATCGGATGGGTTCAGTTTTATCAACCCTATTTATGACACTGTTTTGGCCTTCTCCTACACCCCCACCTGCCAAAAAACACCAAGGGGCAGGGATTCCACGCAGGTGGGGGTGGTTATCCATTGGATACCAACGAACAGTGTGAGAGAGGCCGCCACCTCGGTAGTGCCTGCAGGGTGGGTACCTCCAGACACTTCTGGAATCACGGAATCAATGTGGTGGCCACTCAGCATCTCCTGCACGTGTGAGCCATGGCTGCTGGGCAGGCTCGGGTGCCTGGGAGAGCTGGCCCGTGGCACCCTCCTGAGGGAGGTCCGGCTCTGGGTATGGACAGTGACCTTGGCCAGCTGCTCCTTTCTCAGGTCCCCGAGGGGGCTGGGCTGGGGCCTACCGGATTCTCGCAGTAATGACACAAGTCGTTGCTCCCAATGAAGAGTGTGATGAGCTTCCAGTCTTTCTCTAGGTTGATTTTCTGAGGGGACAGGAGATACTGTTTAGACCTTGGTGCGGGGGGTGGTGTCACGTGTAAGGGGTGCTCACCAGGCCAGATGGCCCCCCATGTGCCTTCCACCGTCTTCACATCACAGTGAAGAGAAGATGCCAAGTGGGGCCTCCCTCACCCTCACCTTTGCGCTGGTCAAGGACTCCACCCAGAGCACTGTGCGTGCGTGTGCGTGTGTGTGCGTGCATGCCTGCTCACACAGCACAGAGGGCTGCTTGCTCTTTGAGAGCCTCTTAGGAGAGCTGCAGTCCAGGGTGAGGTGGAATGTATTAACACACCCTGAAAACATGATCTATAGGCCTTCAAAGGGGAGCCGAGGGCAAAAGAGCCATCTAGAAGCAAAAGCCCAGCGCTGGCTCTGGGGAGAGCCCTTTGGGTCTGGGTCCGGGGAGCGGGGAGGAGGAGGGTGTGAAGGAGGAGCCCAGGGTGGACCAAGGGTGGGGCGGGGGCTGGGGAGGAGCCTGCTTTCAACTCAGCCATTGTAGGAGTCCTGCCAGGAGCCAAATTCCAAGGCATAAACGCAGAGCATTTTAAAAAGTGCTAGTGAGAAGGTTTAGAGGGGCCAAGGGAGCAGGAAGGAGGAAGGATTGGAATGAGATACCTATTTTTAGAAGCCAAAGTTTACATAATAGGGCTTGGGAAGCCAACTGTTGGGTTAAGTAGAAAGCTGCCAGGCCAAGGCCTGCCACCTCCCCGGACTCCGCTCCATCTCTGCCTGCAGCAGTCCCTGGAGCGGAGGTGGCGTCGAGGTGGACACCCATCTCCTCTGAGCTCATCTGGCCCCTCTTGAAGACCAGCCTGAGCTGCTGTAGGGCAGAGGGAGCTCTTTCAGCCCCCCAGCTAGAGACAGAGCACCTCTTGGGGTGACCCCGGGTCCTGGACTCACAGGGCTGTTTTTCATTCGCTCCACGAGGTCCCGGGCCTGGGCAGGCATGTCCCTAGGTGGGGGAAGAGACAGGGATGTTAGAGCTGGCTCAGGAGCAAGGGCTCAAGCTGTAGGATTTGGGCCTGGCAAGATGTTTCAGGAAGAAAAATGTCATACAAAGTTCATTCCTTCAGCATGTATCGAAAGGCTTTCAATTCTCAAGAAATCTCAACCTAGTGAAAATAAAGATCTGCCGTGGGTCTCGGCACCACGTCACTCCAGACCCTGCCGGGGGCTGACATGCATCCAACTGCCCCCTCCGGCAGGCCTAGTCCTCTGTGGCCACTTTAGTGGGGGAATCTGCTCATCCTTCCCATCAGGGATGTTCCCTTATATCATCCAGGTCTTTCATTACAGGCTGAGCCTGTTCAGTTCTTCAGCTGCCTGTTTTAAAAATAACCTTCTGTATGTTTGAAAAAAGTCATTGCCCTAAATGAATGCTCAGCTTTCTCCTCACCAGGCTTCATGATTCCTTTAACCTTTACCTCTGAGTCCCACTCTCTGCTCCTTTAATCCTTTTGTTTTTCTTCTCTGTAGTTACTTCTGATTCCCACACCACTCTCATCTCCTCACTCTCCCCTGCCTCCCACAAAACAGGATGGGGGAGACAAATTTGGCACTAGCTCTCCCTTCACCTCCCAGATGTCTGCCGTCTATAAGGAAATGAATGCTTCTGGATAAGAGATATGTCACCGGAACCCTACAGCGATACGGGGTGTGAACCAGTGATACACATGACAACGGGGAAGTATCTCCCCGGCAGACGTAATTTTGCTGGGTGAAAGAAGTTAGACAAGAGAAAAGCTATTATTCTAGAAAATTCTAGAAATGTAAAATTCTAGAAAATCAAAACTAATCCATAATGACAAGGAAGCAGGTCAGTGGTTCCCTGAGGCCCAGGGAATGGAGTGGGAGACAGGAAAGGGGCAGGAGGGAGCGATTGATTACAAAGAAGCACAGGGAAACTGGGAGGTCTTGGACATATTTATCATCTTGCTTGCAGTAATGTTTTCATAGGTAAATGCAAGTGTCAAATTTATCAAAGTGCACACTTTTTATATGTGCAGTGTACTCGTGTCAATTATACCTCAATAAAGCTGTTGTTTTTCTTTAAAAAAGATATGTATATGAGAAGGGATACAGCCAGTGGAGGCTTCCATGGAAGAAGTCATAAAAGCAGTAACTGGTACAGGATGGGCATTTGAAATCTTTGCGTGCCCACGATGAGCTGTGCACGTGGCCCAGCATACGTGGTACCATCCGTGCCCCTGCTTCTCAGATAAGGGAGGCTCGTAGAACAATCCTCCAGCCTTGCTTACTTAGGTCAATGGCTTCCTCTCCTTTCCCCTAACACAGTACCTCAGAGACATTAACAAGAAGCTGCGTGCCTCGGCCACTTCCCCTGCCACTATTTGTTCTGGGGGAGGCAGCAAGCAGCAGTAAAATAGAAAAAGACAGCTTAAGAGAAGTGAAGCAAGAAAGGGGAAAGGGGCTTGAATGTCAACAGTCTAAGGAATCCATTCCTGGTTAATGAAGCCTGGGCTGTATAATAATAATAATAATAATAATAATAATGGTAATAACAGTAACTAGGTGTTGAAACTATGGCCCCCCGAAGCCCAATTTTTACAGAAAAATAATTTCTTCCTGCTTATGACGCTGAGGAACTGACATCGCTTCCTGTGGCTCAGAGACTCACACCAAGCGTGGGGCCCTTCTTACCGTGTCTGAAAGGAACGCTCCCTGTAAACAGAATGAGTCAAGCCAATTCCGTTTCCCTGGTGATCTGAGTGCAGCAACCCTTGTACAAAGCAAAGACCCAGCACGCTCTGTGCAGAAAAATCAATGAACTCTGCCAGAGCTTTCAACTTTAATTATCTGGGTTGTTGTCAACAATACAAATCCGAGTGAAAACAAACAATTGCCATGGTGTTTCGGGGATCTACCATCTAACTCCCTGGTGTCAACGTATGGCTTTTGCAGTCAAGGGCTGGAGATTCGGAGGCCAGAGAGGGGAAAGGGGAAGGGCGGCCATCCATGGGGCCATACCGTGTACCTGAGGTGCTGAGAGTCGCCTGCATGTTTGACCCCAGCCTCCACTGGGCGGGGAGGTCGGCTGGAGTCAGCTGGATGGCACCCTGGCCCTGGGCCACGTGCTTCCTGTCCACCACCCTCAAGTGCTTCCTCCTGCTGCCCTGAGAGGCGGTTACAGGGCAGTGGGCAGAGCGAAGGCTCTGATTCAGCCTGGTCTGATCCCGGCTCCTCTGGTCACTTGCTCTGACAACCTTGGGCCATTCAGGAAACGGTCTAAGCCTCATGCTAGTATCCAGCTCCCTTCTCATCAGGCTGCTCGCTCGCTCTTCCAAGCACACCTGTTCCTTCACGTCTCCCCCGACTCTGACTTTTCGGCAGGTCTCCCTAATCCACAGGGTCAAAGCCAAACCCCTTCCCCAATGTGCTGAGCTCACCATGATCTGGTTTCCAATTTCCTGTCCTTGTTCGCCCCCTCCTTTCCTGTCCACACAAACCTTCAGGTCTAAGCAAGTTGATGTGAAGCATGAGGGCCCTGGACTGGCCTACCACCAGCCACTCCATCCCCTCCAGGAGCACCAGACTCTCTCCTTTCTAGTCCTTAACTCTCTGATTCATTCTCGAAGACCTTTGTCGGTGCCCACCTCCTCCATGATGGGTCCTCATGCTAGTACCCATCTCAACAGCTGTGAGGATTACAGGAGACCATCCATGTGAGGGGGCAGCTAAGGGCTGGGCACGCAGAAGTGCTCCGTGCACTGCAGCTACTCCTGCCTGTCTAGGGACCAGGCTCCCAGACACCACTCTTCTCTTTTCCCTGATCTCTTAGCCTTGCCCTCCTCTGTGCCTCCGGTACCCACATCTACTCACCAAGCTCTGGCCCCTTCCACTGCTACATTCAGCCCTGCCGTCTCCTCCTGTGTGCCAGTGGAGAAGCCGAGGATTTCAGGGTTGAACTTCTTCAGAATGTCTTCGGAGAGGGAGGGAGCAGACAGCACAGGTGAGAGGGAGATGGACGTGCAGGGTTGGGGCTCAGGTGTGGGGTGGGATGGTTCTGGGTCTTTTCAGGGCTGGCTGCCTTCCCTCCTTACAGACAACCCTCTCTTCCCTTGCCCAGAGGGAGGCCCCTGGCCTCCGTGAGGGGTTGTTATGGCCACAGTAATGGTGCTTCCCTGTGTTGCTACTTACTAGGCAGTGTGGTGATGGTCTCCAAGTTGCCATCCCCTCCAATGCTGGGGAGGAGAAAGCACATTTGTTAAAACCACAGGTCATCCTATTTCTGAGTCAGAACCAGAGAGTCTACCCTGGAGCAGGTTTCCCATCACTCTTAGGTCTAGCATGAGTACCAGGGCATCTCTTCATCTCAGCACCGGGCCATGGGTACCCAGCCTTGTCTCCAGAGGGGTGACAGGGGAAACACACCACCCATGCCTCTTTGGGGGAGTGTCATCAACAGAGAATGAGTGGAGAACACTCTCACCTCCAGGAGAGGCCCCTCCAAGATGTGAGGAGGTCACTGGCATTGCTGGGTCGGGCTCCCACTGCTGTCTGAAAGGCAAAGAGAAGGCTCCAGAACTGAGCTGGGCTCAGGTGCAGGCTGGGGGCACTGGGGAGGGCCCCTCTTGCCCTGGTGTAGCAGCTGGGACCTGGATTTACCTTTTCTGAACTTGGTACCAGCTTTTCTCCAGGCCACTTAATCTCTGATTCATTTTGACTCTCCAGTCCTCTCTACACACAATCAGTAACCAAGTCATGGAAGAACAAGATTCCTCCTGCCCAGCCTCTCGGGCACCCATCTCTTCCTTCGTATTCCCTGTACCATATTCCTCAGGTGAGACTCCTATCCCCTCACCAGGGACAGCTCTGGCCTCTTACCCAACCCCAGTCTCCAGCATCTCCTCCCTTCTCGTCAGGCTGCCCGCCTGCTCTTCCTGCACACCGTTCCTTCACGTCTACCGCGACTCTGACTTTTCGACAGGTCTCCCTAATCCACAGGGTCAAAGCCAAACCCCTTCCCCAGTGTGCTGAGCTCTCCGTGATCTGGTTTCCAATTTCCTGTCCTCATTCGCCCCCTCCTTTCCTGTCCACACAAACCTCCAGGTCTAAGCAAGTCGATGTGAAGCATGAGGGCCCTGGACCAGCCTATCACCAGCCACGGCATCCCCTCCAAGAGCGCCGAACTCTTCTTTCCAGTCCTTAACTCTCTGATTCATTCTCTAAGACCTTTGTCAGTGGCCACCTCCTCCATAAAGCTTTCTCTAAATGCCCTCTCTTATAAAAAGAGAAAATCCTCTTTGAGACTTGCAAAAGTAATCCATGTTCACCATAGCTAGTGAAATGATACAAAGACTTTTAAAAATTAATACTGTACCCCTATCTTAACCTCAATCATCTTGCCTCCTGCACACAGATTCAACATACTCTTCTGACCCCTGGTCCACATTTACACACCACCAGAGCCAGTTAATGGTTAAGAGCCTGGTGTACATCCTTCCACAGCTTTCCCCATGTTCACACCCAAATTAAAACACACTCACACACATATGGGGAGGTTGTTTTTTTACAGAAAAAATGCCCGATTTCAGAATTCCTGTTCGTCACCTCTATGATTATGCATCTCCTTCTGTGTAAATTTCTTCTTTTCCTAGATGGACAAGTTCCTAGAGGGTTAAGACTATGTCTTACACTTCCTTTTTCTCAGAATTGCTAGCAGAGTGTCTCACACACAGCAATAGCTGAAATGTTGGCCAATACAATTCCTTTAGTGAAACCGTGCTGTGTGCAGGAACTGGGCTCCCTCTGCCCCCAAGAACACATCTTTAAATGGGGTGAGGGGATACTGGGCAGTGTGTAAGAACCACTACCCTGGGAGTCTGGGTGATGGAGATGAGTTCCCTGGTAGAGGCAGGCAGACCTGAGTCAGTACCTAACACACACAGATGAACTGCTTGGGAGCAGTGGGGGAGGAAGGATGGGCAGCTGCTTTCTGGGGATGGAGAGGAGGGCTCATGGAAGAGGTGGCATCTGAGCCGGGCTGTGGAAGGGTGGAGGGCAGGGCATTCTAGATTGCCCTGGTGATGTCCCACGGCTGCCCGGCTGTATTTCAGTGCCAGATACAGGTATGTCCTCAACAGTGTCAGCTAAATGCTGAACACAGAGCCAATGAGGAGGAAGAGCTGATTCTGCCCAGGGCCTGGCTGGGTGCTGGGGTTCTCATGCCTGGCTCAGCAAAATACTCACAGTCAGCGAGTCACCCAGGGCGGCCACCACTTTGATATCCGCGGGTCGAAGCTCATGGACTAGGGAGACAGGCAAAAAACGTTGGTGGTCAGCGGAGGTCTTCCTTTTTAAACTATAAACGTGATTAGGAGCCTGAGATTCTGCCCTCACCCCACAGGTCCCCATTACACTTATTTCCAGCCTGAGGCCTTAAGAACTCTGCCTCTTCCATCCATTCGGAGCAACCAAGGCACTGAAGGCAATGGACTTGATGGCTCTTGTGCATCCTGAGAGGAGCTCAGCTCACGCTAGAGTGGTCCAGGAAACCTCCAGCAGCAGGGTCATGAGCATAGGCAGAGAGGACCCCAATCCTGACTGAACCTACCTCAGCAGACAGGGAGGCTGGGGGGGGGGCTGCTACTGAGACAAAGTAGAGGGGACAAGTGTGGCTTCTGGGCGCCCAGCAGAGGCTTGTTTGTGGGCCAGCCTGTCATGGGCTGCCCGGGTTCTGGGTCTGCGTTGCATGGGAGTCAGCAAGACCTGCTCAAGCCTCCAAGGTGTGTTTTTAGGGTCTCCCGCCAACCTGATGCTTAGCAAGGCCCTTGATTGAAGGGGATGATGGTGTCTTCACTCACCTGATGTAGGGACACTGTTGGAAGGATCCCACTCAGCACACAGGAGGTCACTGCCCCAGTTCTAAATCAACAGGAGGAAAGACACATCACTTGACACTCACTGGGCAGGAAGGGTAGCTTCAGCCCAAGAAGAACTAGCTAAGGAATTCGTGGTGGAGGCTAGAGCTATGCCACTGCAGGGGGTCACGTGAGGTGAGGAGCTGTGAGGTGTGGATGGAGCAAGAGAGAAACTAGAGAGGAGGAAATGGGCGTCTGTCTATTTCTATGCACAAAGCACGTAACGCGTGGGCACGCATGTGCACACTCACGGTCTTTCCCATCTTGAGTTATCTATGCTCTTAAATGGGGCCCACAGTCATCCCAGAGCAGGGGAGGAAACAGTGAAGTCATGCTACAGGTGGCCTCCCAAGGGACACGGGTGTGGATGCCTTTATTAAGAGGTTCCACATGAGCTCATGCCCCAGAGCTTAGCAGCTAACATTTCATCCATAATTTCATGTGAGTGAGTCTCAGTGCTTCAGCTGGCTTCTAAAAGGTCTTTCTTCCATCATTCTTGCTGTTCCTCAATCCATTTTCCACACTAGTCAGGGAGATCTTTTAAAAATATGACACAGATTATGTTACCTTCTCCTAGAACCTCCAATAGCTTCCCACCTGTGTCCCCCCAGAAATCCATCTTTCTTACTTAGGGATTCAGATTCTGTATGTTCTGGCCCTTGACACCACCTCTGGTCTCGTGATCCCACTCTCCACCTTATTCACATGCCCGCCGCCATGCTGCCTTCCTTCTCTCCTCAAATGCACTCAAGTCAGTCCTGCTTCTGAGCCTTTGCAATCCCTGGTCTTGCCTGGGCCTCTGTTGCTGGCTCTCCAGATGGCTGGCAGCTTTTCCTCATACGTGTCCCAGCTCGAATCTCCCCTCCTCAGACAGGTGTGGCCTGCATGGCTCATCAGAATGTGCCACCCTCGCTTGCCCATCCCACTTTCTTGCGTCACCTTCCTCAGAGCTGTCATCACTATCTGAAATGGTCATGCTTAGCTGTCTACTGGATGCCTCCTCCCGGAGACTGTAAACTCCAGGTGTAATGGAGCAAGACCCTGCGGGACCTTCCCAGGACAGGACCCCCTGCCCCACCATGTCCTCCACCTGTCTCTTGTCTGCAGAAAATCTTTAAAGAATTAATTTAATCAGAGAAATGAGAAAATGCAGAAACAAAGGGAAAGCAGTCAAACAGGACAAAATAACAGTTTAGTCATCAAGCAAAGTCAAGGACTGTTAGTTCCTCCTCAAGGACTATAAATAATATTCTGAACCATATCCTTTGAGCTGTTTTGTAGATACTGAAACCCCTACCAGGTGGAAGAAAGTTAGCATGATGTCCTGACTGTAGCCATGACACAATTCCAAGAACTGGCCTCAAAGAAATGGGAACAAACCGACCCTGGAACTGAAGGTTACCTGTTCTTAAAATGATCACGATGGTGCTGATCAGACCACTGCATGACCAACGTCAAGATGACTGTCAGAGCTGACTGCTGCTCTGCACATAGCCCCCTCCCTCCACCTATACACCTCAAAACTCCCCTGCTCCCTGATCAGCAGTGGGGAGTTGGACATGAGTCCACCTTCTCCCCTCATTGTCAGCCTCCAACATAAAAAAGCCTTTCCCCTACCAACACTTGCCCCTCAAATACTGGCTTTCGAGTGGTGAGCAGTCAAACCTGAGATCGGTAACACATGAGGGGTGGGATGCGTCTGTCTGGTCTACTGCTCTAGCTTCCCGAAACAGTGCCTGGCACATAGTAGGTGCCCAGTATGGAATAACTTCTAACTCCCAAGGGCAGGACCATGTCTGATATTTCTCTGAATGCCCTCTGGTCCCTAGCACAATACAAAACAAACCATAGGTGCTCAACTGACACTGGTGGTTGAGCCCCCAACCTGGTGGCCGACAGACGTGGTCTGGACCAGACCTGTCCTGTGAGGCTAGTGTGGTCCAGGATCCTCGAGGCCATCTTTGGAGTAGCCATCCCTAAAGCCATGGGCCCTGAATCCTCAGAGCTGGATTGACTGACTTGAACCCAACAAGCCCTGGAGACCCACGTGGCTATGCGTCAGCTTCCTGTTGGGCTCAGCCCCTGGAACCGAGGTTCTTCCCACTCAGTTTCCACCTTACAGGAAATCGATGGTGCATCATACCCACTGCCTCCCCCTCCTCCCTTCTTGAAAGGTTGAGCTGCCTAATCAGAGACAATGTCTGTGCAAAGGTCAAAGAAAATTGCACTTCCTCTAGTTGGTCGCTGACATCAAGTAAGCACTTGAGAACATGTTAGGACAATCCTGGGACTGTGTGGTTCAGGAATACTTTTTTCACATTCCAATTTCCAGCATGTAAGTCGGGTACATTTCTGCTTAAGCTAACTCTCTGAAAGCCACACGACACCCCGTGTTGCTGGGAGGTGGAAGCGGTTTATCCCTGAGAGGGAGACGTGCTTCAGGGGTTACCTCCGTGGCTGGCTCGGTGGGGTACGTGTAGTTACTGTTCCGGGGGGTTCTCAGGAAGGGCTCATTCTGTGAGAGAAAACAGAGGGAGAGGTTATCTGACAGCCTTGAAGATTGCTTAGGAAACAATAAGTACTAACAACCCTGCCCTCTAGACTTACTTAATGCTATTCTCCTGCATTTAAATAGAAAGAACTATATAAACAGAATTTCATTCACCCCCCAAGAGGGTTTTACATAACAGCTTCAGCAAAGGATGCACAAGAAAATGTCTAAAAAGGGTTCCACACATGTTCTATTCAGGGTTCTGTGCTTTTGTTTTCACCCTGATGATTGAACACCTCCCTCAGAATGATTTTCTTCCTTTTGTAATTTCTCTGGCAGGAGAGTCACATTATAGTATTTTTTTCTTCTCCACAAAATGTTACAGTGATCAATATATTTTAACATCTGTTGCTATTATTATATTATTGCCTCCCTTTAACTCTGTGTCTCACGCCCTGTGGATTGGTTTCCATATTTGGGTCGTGTTTTTGTTCCCATCCCTGCTCACCCGTTTATCTCACCATCAGTGTCACACAAGCCCAGCCAAGAATCCAAGTCTATTCAGTGCCGGGTGATGAGTTAATCAAAGAACAAAGATGGAAGTGGACAAAGAAGAAATGGTGGAGGGAAGCAGGTTATAAGAAAATGTAGAACTGACAGTGAAGCAAGAACAAGTTTATAAGATGGAGATCAGGCAACATTCAAAGGCCCAGGGCTGTCAACACCTTCACAAGATGTGCTGGCTGGGGTAGAAGGGCCCTGGTCTGACAATTTGGGAATACTATGGAAAAAGTGGGAAGAACCAGAAAGCTGGAGAAGAGGGCATTGGAGATCTGGTCCAGGGGTTGAAAGCTGACTGCCCATGGGATGAACCCAGCCAGGAGATGTTTTGTTCTGTTCTGCTTTATTTTGGCCTGAATGGCATTTAAAAAAGAGGAGGAGGAGAAGGGGGAGAAGAGAGGAAGACGACTCAGTACCTTTAGGAGGGGTGCATGCCCTTCAGATCTGGCCCTACCACCTCCTCTTGTCCCAGACTTGATCCTGTTCACGGGATCGTGTTCCTGCCTGGCACTGCATCTGAGTCAGCAACCCCTGATCGCTCCACTCTACCGAGGCGCAGGGTGGAGAAGGCACCTGTTCCAGGTAGTGAGTGCAGAGCTGGGCAGGCCTTCATGATTGGAATGGCCTGGGTCCATTCCTCACACGGGAGTCAGGCCAATGAAACAGGAAGAGAAGGACTCAGCAGTCCCCTTGGAGGATGGAACCTACCTGCACAAAACTCCTGGCCCTCAGCACAGACCCTGGCTCCCTGGGGTGCTACACGTCAATCCTTCCTTCTGAGTCTTGGGATTCCTAATTGAAACCTGGGCCACCAGCACACTCAGCCAAGGAGGAAGTGTGCCCTGGACTGTCCGCCACAGTACAAGGCAAGAGAGAGCTTACAGTGGCAGGTCACCATGGCTAACGAAGCTTGTCTCCAGCTCATGTTATTCAGTGTCCCCCGAGCATTCACCATCAGATGAGGGCCACCTGGGAGCACCCAATAAAGAGCTCACCCACCTCTGTGGAGCACCCCATGTGTTCAGAGCACTGTTCTAGGTGTCAGGAATGAGGAGAGGATCCAGAGGCTTACAACCCAGTCAGAGAACACGAGAAGCATTAGGCAGTGAAGCATCAAAGCACAGTGTGTCTAGTAAGTGCAGTAATTGCTGAGGAACAGTTGCAAGAGCTGGGGATGTGTGATCCTCAAAGACAAGACTCGGTGGGAGGTGGGTCACTAATGATTGTTCTCCACCCACTTCATGGGAGTCCTGGCTGGGCAGAGGGCCTGGGGGCTGAAGCTAGTCCCAGAGTGGCAAGCAAAGGCAGAAACCAGAGGGCAAAGGCTTCCCCTGCTCTTCTGGACTTGCTGGAAGTCAAACTGGAGAGTCTGTTTGATTATGTGGTCCAAGTGTTGAGGGAGGGGACAGAGAGGGGAGATGGAACTAAGGGGTCAGAGGTGCTGGAATGTGGTGGGGAATGAGGCCAGAGCAGGAATGGTGAGAACAGGTCCAGTGCCAAGGCAGACAGGCGGCCTGGGGTGCCCGGGGCCTGTTTTATGGACCATTGACCGCATTGTGCGTGCATGAGTCAGAGTGGTTTAAAGGCCTGGAGCTGAGCAGAGGGAAGAGGGATTCCGTTTAGTCTGATTGGCTCTCCTAGGCTGGGTTCGTAACAGCAGTAAGTAGAAAGTGAAGCCGACTGAACGCCAGCATGAGGAAGTGCCCTAGTTATAGCCGTGCAAAGATGGGGTGGCCTGCCCTGACGTGAGTCAGCAACGTGAGTCAGTGGCTGCAGGAAAAGGTCATGTTCCTCTTGGCTGTGTTACTAGGTGTAAAGTTCCACAGCGAATGAGAGGTGGTTTTCTTCTGTTCTGTGCTGCTCAGACCCAACCAGATGTGTACCGTCAGGCCTGGGCACCAACTTCGGGGGGGGGGGCGTGTTCCATGGAGACACACCTACTACCTGCAGCACGTTTGGAACACTTGTCTGCCATAAAGGTTGAAGGAACTAAGGAGAAGACTCAGAGAAAGCCGGTACTGGTAAAACAGAGGAGGACATAGCAGCACTACGTGGAATCCCCTCTGACGTTTCTGTGCCTCCCATCTTGTCATCCCATCCTCCCATCCCATCATCCTGTCCTGTCCCATCCTATCATCCCATCCCATTCCATCATCCCATCATCCCATCTCCCATCCATCATCCCATCATCCCATCCCACTCTATCATCCCATCCCATCATCCCATCATCCCATCCTCCCATCCCATTCCATCATCCCATCCCACTCTATCATCCCATCCCATCCTATTATCCCAACCCATCCCATCCCATCATCCCATCATCCCATCATCCCATCCCATCCCATCATCCTATCCTGTCCCATCCCATCATCCTATCCTGTCCCATCCCATCCTATCCCACCCATCAGCCCAACCCAAACATGACCTAATAGGCTGATTTCACAGCTTGTTAACAGGTAGCCGCTTGGCTGTTCGAAAAGTACTGCCTTGAGTGTGTGGAAGTGTCAGTAAAGGCCATAGCCTCTACTTGCCTTGGGAGGGATGAGATAGAATAATTCAGTTATTATATGAGAGATTGCATCAACAGGATGCCAAGGCCCTCCCCACTGAGACCCTAAGGTTGTATAATTCGCTGTTGCTTTATGATGGGAAGGAGCAGATAGCCTTTAACACATAATGTGATGAGGACCCGCACTGGGGTGGTGGCCGTGGCACTAGGAAGGGGGAGGCACTGGAACAGCACTAGGAAGAATCCTATCAGACAGGGTGCCTGACGTTTTAAGCCTGCGGAACTGTGACAACCACAGCAGCGCTAACAGAGGCAGGAAGTCCTAAGGATCGGAGAGTTTGGGAAGACAAACTTTTCATTCCTGTTTTGGCATTCTTACTCAAAAATTATCTTTTGAATGAATGTTTGTTGAGGTTGAGATGATGGTGGGGGCAGGGCAGGACTGAGAGATTTAGAAGTCCAATGCATTCTTAAGAAAAGAGTCCCCCACATGTCATTCAGAATAGAAACACTGCTAAACAATCAAGTAAGTGTCCGGGAATCCAACAAGCCTCGGCTTTTTCACAAAAGGCTGGATGAAATGTCACTTGAAATTATTTCAGTTTTTCTCCGTCTGTGTCTCCCTCTGGTTCCTCCATTTTGCTGGTCCCCTGATCATACATTTAACCTGATTTCTGGGCAACCTCACACCATGGAGGGCATCTGGGGGCAAAGATCTCTTAAGGGTTAGAAATAGAGCTGTAGTCTGGGAAAGAAGGAAGAAGTGAAGACACAGCTTGGGAATCCTAGGCAAAGAAATTTAACAGGAAACCCTGGAAATGGACAAACCTCTGAGTGTGGAGAAAGTGAAAAGCGAATCAGCCTGAGACATGAAAGCTGGAGAAGGGCCACATTTTGGAGGCTGGGAGAAAGGAAGGAGGGTCATTAAAATAGATGACAGAGGGCAGCAACTGGAAAAACAGACCGATCAAGGTGGTTTTGCATCCGTGAATGCAGGGAGGAATGAATTTCATGGAGGAGGTGGCTAACTCTGACAAATGCTTCGAGAGGGCAAGAAAACTGAGAGCTCTCCTCCAAGCCTGAGGGAAAGCCAAGCCAGCTGCCCTGAGCTAGGGAAGGAGGGGGCAGAGAGGTGATGAAGACCAGAAGGGGACAATAGTCACGGTCCACAGAGACTAATCAAAAGTTGGCTGTGAAATCATGTGTCCCACCTGAAAGTCTAACAGCAAGCCACAGAGTGCTGCTAAGTGCCCAACCTGGCGGGGCACAAGGCACCTGCAGCTGATTGGGGCTGGGGGAGGAGCGGGGAGGAGGCTGCATTCATCTCAGCCCCCTCCTCCTCGCTGGGTCCTGCCTGTTGCCTCTATGTTTAGACACGGCTAGGATTAAAATACATGCTGCCTGGCCCCTGTCAGCTCACACTGAGATGCTGGTGGACTTTTATATAGCTCCAAGGCACACGGGATGGAGCAGATGGGACCTGAGGAACGCAGAATTCTACGTTGCCTGGTGCGGTGAAGTCGGGCTGGCCAACAGATGGATTCTTTTGGAATGGGCTCTGGGGTTGCCTGGCAACACTTCTCCCAGGCTGGGCTTCTGCAGTTCTAGGAGGCTGGATTTGCTCTCCTCTGCTCACGGTGGCTCAGTCAGGCTCTGTCCAGAAGGAGGAGCGGAGCTGACTGTGCCTTGAGATTCTGGGTGAAGTAGGAGACTTTGGGGGCTCCTTGCCTGGTCTGGGGCAAGGAATGGCACCGGCCACCTTGAGGCCCGCGGTGACAGGGCTCTACCTAACCCAGTGCCTAGGCTCCAATCTGGTACTTAATAGATATTTGTAGGGAGGGAGAGCAAGTGACGGCTCCCTGGAATGTGTTGTTGTTCTTTTACCTATCTAGTGAAAGGGCAATCGGCAGATTGGAGAGGGTTTTCCATGGCTGATGTTCAGTATGGTCATGTGGGTTGGTAAAATGTTGAAGGTTGCCCCCTGAATGGTTTACAGCCTCTGCTCTGAGCCCTCACATGCCTCTACTACCAGGGTTGCCTGGCCCCTCCCCTAGAACCTGCTGGACATGTCTAGGATCCAGCAATTACAGGGTTTACAGCTGGCATGATGGGGCCCTCCAGGACCTTGCCCCACCCCTCGCGCCAGCATCTGACCATCTGGACTGGAGGCACCCAGGCTGCACTGACTGTTCCATCACTTGACTATCTCCTTGCTCCAAGCACCGGACCCAGCATCTGAGCCCTCTGCTGCCACTGCCTTCACTTTTGTGTCCCTTCTTCCCATGGATCTTGCTCTCCTGATGAGGCTAAAGGTGCACAAAGCTGAGCCTGGGCCTGAGACTGGGGAAAGGGAGGCAGCAGACAGAGGACACGGGTCCAAGCACAGGTGCCCACCTCCTTTGGGGCCCTGGCAGACAGCCGGGGAGCTGCAGGTCCACTCCCTGCTCAGCCAGGAGGTGGGAGAGCCTCCCAGACTGGGCCAGGCCACCCTGCTTTTATTACCGCTGAGCGCTCCCTGATCTCAACCTTATTTGGTTAAAAAGCCATAAGACAAGGGGCAGAAAAGGGAGCTGAAGGCAGTGGGAACGTGTACCTGCCCCACCCCCAGGCCTGAAATCAGGTTTAACACAACCACTTACACTTTCCTCCTTAAAAGGAGCCCCGGGCTGAGCCTCACCCCAGTCCTCACAAGGCCAGTCCTACCTGCCCCTCCCCTCAGTGGCTCCAGGGCTTTGCTCTTTGACCCTCTCCCTGCTGGACCCTCCTGATCCAGGCTCCACTACCACGACCACGACCATGAGCCGCAGCTTCTCCTAGCCTCCAGTCTGCAGTCAGAGCTTCCCGTCTGTCTCACTTGTCCCTGCTGAGAGGTGTGGTCCTGCCATCCTCTCAGCTTCGTAACTTCCTTTCTCAAGAACCCTCATCTCTCACCCAGTCTTCTCCCTCTGCCGGGACCAGGCCCCCTCCCCTACCTGGGACTCCCCTTTCCAAAGAAATAAGTGCTTCTGCGCCCTCTTCTCCCCCATTCTCATCCACTTCCATCCTCCGAAGTCCATCCAAGGGGCAAGATGGGCAACAGAAAAGCTGGGGTGGGGGATAAAGGGAGGGAGATGGGGGGTGAAGGGGAGAGGGCAGGGTCTGAGCTCCGGGCTTCTGGAGGACAGCAAGGCAGCCCCCACCCTTATTACCTGAGTGGGGCAGGAGAGGGGTATATCCACCGTCAGGTCCAGGGTATCAGTTTTCCTTCCTGGTGGTTCAAGCTGATTGGGGAGGAAGAGAGAGACGCGGGTGTTCTCATTTGTTTCTTCTGGGGGGGGCATCCCCCCGCAGTGCACCCTGCAGTGGGGAGAGCTCAGAACTGGATTTCAGGGGGGCTGGGCCTCCGCTCCTGGCTCTATCAGTCCCCAGCTGTGGGATATTGGGCAAGTCACTTAGCTTCTGTCAGATTCATTTCCTCATAAACCCATAAGACTTCTTTGGCAGAGCTGTTGAGCAGCTTTAATGAGACAACATGGCTTTAACTGCCTAGCACAGTTGCTGGCAGAGAGAAAATATTGAATATATGGGAGGGTTCTGCCTTGCATTCATGGCAAGAATCCCTCATCACAGTTCAAAGCCCAAGGGAGAGGATGCAGTTGATTCAGAAATCTCAAGGACTCCATGTTTTCAATGCTATAGACATCTACACACGTGCCAGCCCCCACTCCCCTGCACCTTGCTTGCAAAGGGAGTCCAAGAACAAGACTGATTCCATAGAGGGCTGGCGCTTTGCTCTAGACTCGAACCCCAGAGAACCTGGGCACCCTGCTTATTTTACCATATTGACCCAAAGGGCTCTGGAGAGCTGGGAGTGGAATTTCTGACTTGGGTGGAGGCAGTCTGGAGCGAAGAAGGACATATCCAGGTGCCCATCCTGAAGGAGAGAAACAGATGTCCTTAAGTTCCCACCAGTGCAGAGGGTGGAAAGCAGGCCTCAGCTGGTGGTCTGACCCCTGGGGTTGACCTCTCAACACCCTCCGCCCCCTCGGGGTACTCCCAGCCTTTGGCTTCCTACAGGGCCCCCAACCTTCTTTCTGGCCCCACAATTCCCCACCGTTAATTTTTAAAGTGCTGCGTTTGTTTTTAGGCACATCTATGTAACTTGTGCTATGGTGGAGGGACTGAAAGCGTAGGCCTGGGAGCTGCGCAGCTGGATAG